TTTTTTTATCTAAACTAAAAACTAATTTTTTTTCCTTTGTAACATAGGTAATTGTTTAAATTATTTATTAGATATATTTTTTTATTTCACAAACACATATACACAATCAATACAATTTTTTACAACAAGCATAATATAGTATAGGGGTTAGAACATGGATTTCTTGAATAAGAAGCCATCCACTAGTGGCACTTAGCTTGGTGTTTTTGTTTAGSGTATTAAGGAGGGGTATTTAATTTAAATGGTTACAACACCATTTTATTTTGAGTCTCTTTATTAGATATAAATGATAAATCAATATGTTAAATTAATATCTGTGTATATTACACTTACACTGCATTACACTGTATATTATTATTAAARTTGGAATTTTATTCCGCAAAATAAAGATTATTGTTTTTATTATAAGTTAAATATACCTACTAACTGGCAACTAAATAATATTTTTATTAATATTAACAATTATTTTATTTTGTTAGCAGTGATGGTTGGGGAGGTTGGTGTCCATTGTTTTACGTAGTATGTAACACATTGACGCCRCTGCATGCTCATATATTTATACCTACTACCTAGGTATAATGAATAATCAAAAAATAGTTAATGATTCAGTGTCGATTATGGGAACGAAGATGTTGTAATTATTTTATAATAATTTGTTTTTTTCTTTATTTCACGTAGGTATTTATTGGAAATAAAAACTTTCAGAAGAGGTATTTAATATGTAATTTTTATCCATACATTTTTTTTTTTTATAAAACTAAAATTTATTATAACCATTATTTGGTAATTCAAAACAAATACATATATTTATTGCCTCGTCGGTATTGATAAGTTATTACTTAGATTCTTAGACACACAATACACAAATAATGTCTTGGATTTACAGTACATTATTTTACAGTTGATAGATAGGAATTACTGTAGTATAGCCAGTAGGTACTTAATGCAGGTTAGGTATGTATAATATCAATACGATATATTATGATATTATATCTAATATTCAATTGTTTTTTACACCGATTCGTCGAAACTGAAAACCGTTTCGAGTACCTACCAATTTTTTT